AATTTTATTATTACTTATAAGATTTAGTAATTATTTAAATAAGAGTTATTAATATATAATAAATTATATATTAAATAGTTAATATAAGGTAAATTCCTAAGGGATAAACCTAGTAAGAATTCTAGGTTGATATTAGTAAAGTAATTAGGAAACCTAATGAGTAATATAAGTAATAGTAAATAAATATTACTAAAGTATAAGTAATATAAAGTATATTATAATTTTAATTTTATATTAATAATTAATTATTTTAAATTATTTAAATAAGTATAAAAAAGTAAACTTATATATTTAATTTATTTATATATAATTATAATTATAATAGTACTTATTATAATAATTACTAGGATAATATTAATAAGCATAAAAGTAATTACTTATAATATAATAATTACTTTCTTTTAGTTAATCCTTTAAAATATAATATATTTTTTCTAAGGCCTATTAGTATAACCAAGTGTTATTAGGTTATAATAGGTTTATTATTATTTATTAAGATATATAACCTAATACTTTAATAAAATAGTAATTTAAAAAAGCTTTATAAAAAATATAAATATAAAAGAAAAAAGTAAACTTATAACTTATATACTTTTTTTTACTTTATTAGTATAATAATTATTTTACTTTTTTTAAGATAAATAAGAAAAAAGGTTATATTTATTATTATAATTTTATGTTAGGAGATAGTATAAATGTTAAGGTATACTTTAACTATAATATATTTGTTATTATAGCTAACTTTAGATTAGAACACTTATAAATAGTAGTTCTTTTATTTATTATTTAAAAAGAAAGTAAGTTTATTTTATAATATTTTAAAAGTCTATAATAGTTAATATTTAAAGAAAGTAATATAATAAAAGAATAGTAATAGCTATAGCTTAATAGTAGTTAAATATACCTAAAATTATATACTTAGCTTATATTATAACCTAATAACACTTAGTTATACTAGCAGGCCTTAGAAAAAATATACTATATTTTAAAAAATTAACTAAAAGAAAGTAATTATTATATTATAAGTAATTACTTTTATACTTATTAATATTATTCTAGTAATTACTATAGTAATTACTATTATAACTATAATTATATATAAATAAATTAAATATATAAGTTTACTTTTTTATACTTATTTAAATAACTTAAAATAGCTAGTTATTAATATAAAATTAAGATTATAATATACTTTATACTACTTATACTTTAGTAATATTTATTTACTATTACTTATATTACCTATTAGGTTTTTTAACTACTTTATTAATATAAACCTAGAATTATTACTAGGTTTATCCCTTAGGAATCTACCTTATATTAACTATCTAGTGTATAGTTTATTATAGCTTACTTATAAACTTTTATATTAGAGTATTTATTAACTTTATAAGTTTAAGATATAAAGTTATTAAATTATTAAAAAAAGTATAAAATAAAGGTACTTTAGTTAAAGCTTAAATTAGTTTAAAAAGAAAATAAAAAGTAAAGGATATAAATTTAGGGGGGATATAATATAAGAGAGTTATAAAAACTTTAAAATATTAATATTTATATATTAAACTACTAGTATTTATGCTATTACCTTTTATAAGCAGCACTAATTACAAACATATATATACTAGCAGGGTAATAATATAATATATTTATAGGCTTTAGAAACATCTATATATTAAATTAGCTGTTATTGTTAAACACAGGGATGTAATTTCAATTAAAGAATAAGTATTATATATAATTAGTTGTAAATGTTACCCACACGTGTGTCATAGAGCAGACTAGAACTATATTAGATCTAAGATATAATATTCTCCTTAAACCATGGTATATATTTGTCTCTCCCCCAAGCTGTTAGCTCCCTGACTCCCGCAATAAACTAAATACATGAATAGAGTACTCAGCCGAGATAACCACAACAGGAGTGGTGAGCACTGGCTTCTTCGGACTACGCCGCTGCACCCAGCCCTGCCAGGATATCGACCATGCCCTTGGAAGTGTTTAGCTGCCCCATTCCCGGTCACTGGCTTCTCAGGCCGAGGTTCAAGTGATAAGAGAGCGCGGTTTGCCTGACTGATCCAACTCCCAAAATGTAGACTGTCCCATCCTCCTGACAGATCTAGTGTTTGTAGAGCCTTGAGAATGTATTAGTTTAAAAGACCCCTTCTTTCTGCGTCAACTACTGTATCCACGGCTCCCATTGTCCTTACGTCTGGGCTTGTTTACAGCGACGTTCTCGCCTTCAAGTTGTTGTAAGGAGGAGGAGGAGGAGGAGGAGGAGGCATGAGACGTTATACAAGCGGTAGGGCTTTCCGGTTTTTGACGTTTATGTCTATGCTCGCAATCGTTATCATCATTCAATCTAAGTCTCTTTTTATATGTGCCTTCGTCTGCACCTAGCTGGGCAGAGGTATCTTCGATTTTTCGACGCTTGTAGACATAATCCAGTGTAGAGTTATCATCCATCGCGCTTCTATCTGTCGGTTGTTTGATCGATGTATAAGGTATTAAGCTAGGCGCTACACTCGTTGTCTCTCGATGATGGTCACGAGCATCAGAGGCATCGTTATCGCATTGATCTCTCTTCCTAGAATATTCAAGATTTAGTATCAAGCCAATCAAGGTAAATAGCAAAGTACTAACCTCTTTCCCTATGTTCTTAGTGCTTTCCTTTCCAAGACAGACTTTTCCCCTGCCAAAACATCAATGCTATTAGATATAGCCGTCATGCATCAGGTATAGGTATAGGTGCCAATGTAATAAGTTGCATTTGCCGACTGCTCTTCTCTATCTTGACGTTCCATGGGACTCTCATAACAGTAATCATCATCAGGCTATTGCGTCTGATCGTAGGCGTTGTATATCTTCTTATTGCAGGGGTCTGGTAGCTGATCAGCGGAAGTCTGCGTCTCTTCGCTGATGTTGCTAGTGGCGCCGTTTAATTGTGCATCTTCTACCACATCCACTTCCCAGCCAAAGGCATTACCTTTTAAAAGCCATAGAAAATCCCAAAGACAGCCGGTTAGACAAACGTCAGATACCATATCACGGGCATCTTTACATGGAAAGACTTTGTCGTTATAGATTGTTTAGTATGTAGCACTAGCTAATAATAATAATAGCTCCTTCTGCCGCTTTTCATTCCTTTCTTAAAAAATTCGCTCAAACTCTGTTTTCTGGCCTTAAGCAAGCTTGGCTATCTCTATTGCCTTGTCAAAATAATCACTCTCCCCGAGGATGGGAATTTGTATTATATTAAATCGCTGCCAATAATCTCCCCTAAGAAGATTGCGCATCTAAGGTTCGACATAATCAGCCCAAGTGCGAAGCTAACTTGAACAAAAGTGTGGTGATGGGGTTTGTAATGGACGCATCGTATATTATAAGTCGGCTCGGTCGCGTTCGCTGTTGGTGATTGTAGAGGAAGTGAATTGACGCGACTCTGCGACGATGCAAGGTTAAAGATTTAAGTGCAAGACGAAGCGGGGAACACTATGCCTAATATGCCTGTAGTTAATTACATGCAGCCATTCGCTTTGCCTTAGTAATGAGACACACATGGAGCCATCTACAAGGGGCACCGTCCACAGCGCACAGGTCACGAAAACATAATTCGCTGTGTTTAAGATCCGAGCTCCGTTGCTCACATTCTCAATAACCTGGTGCACGAATAACAGCAGCGAGTCGGCGCGGCATTGAGTTTATCAGGTCTCGAATCAGGCCTTGTGGAATAGCTGCCCACGCAATACGCAAGCACTATTAACGTAGCAGGCTAATGAGCCAATCAGCAAGCGGGTGGAAGCGCCATAGAAGTAGTAAATTAGAAAATCAGTTATCAAACATTTAAATGAGCGTAATTAGGATTTAAATAGATGGGGCTTTGTAGATATTAGCGGGGAGGTGGATTTTACCAACGCCAGCCATAACCCGACCTCCATCAGCGGCTGTTCTCTCCGCCTTCTTCATTCTATTCTCTGCCGCGCCGCCATGGAGGATGCTATAAGATCTCCCATGAGCATTATTATAAGCAATCTCTTTGTTTTCCTAAGCCTATATATCTGCAGTTGGAATAAAATAAATATAATTATTCTTATTTAGCCTTAGCTTAAATCCTTTAATATCTTAGGATACTTTTTCTTTTATCTAGTTATATATATTAATAATATTATAAAGCCTTTTTCCTAAGATAAGAGAAGTAGTTTTACTACTAAGACTAGTTACCTATATAGCTAAGTTTTCTAATATTTACTAGCTAATAGTTGCTTTACTATAATAAGATAAATCTAAAGTAATATTTTTTATAATTATATTTTAGTTTACTTTATAAATCTTAAAAGTATTAATTATATCTGTAACTAACTTCTTATACCCTAAGACACTAAACTTCTAAGGAGTATTAAAGGATATAGATTTAGGAATAAAGAATAGTAGCACTTTAGTGCTAAATATAATATATTTAGTATTTAATATAGCTGCTATTAGTGTTATTATATAATTAAATATATCTTAAAGGTATAATATTAGGTTAATATACTTATTATAATAAGCTTATAAAAAACTATTTTATAAATATTTATTTCTTATACTTAATATATTACTAATACTAAGCTTTTTTATAATATCTAATATAAACTTAGTAGTTATAATAATAATATCTTCCTTTATAATGCAAGATTAAAAAGGTTAATTATAAATAATAAGTTTAATTAATAGTATAATATTAAAGTAAACTTTCTTACTTAAGTAAAGAAGATTAATATATATATTTATCTTTTACTAATTTAAATTTATATAAGATATAAAATATATATTTTAAATATACTCTTTTTAAACCTTGGATTTAGTACTTAGGATATAAATTAGTAAAGTTAGCAGTTAATATATATCTAAAGTAGTATAGTAATAGTATACACAGGGAAGAGAGAACTATAAATAAATACTTTACTATAAGAAGTAATTATTTCCATAATATAATTCATAAGTATATTATAAAGCTTTTAAAACAAGTAATTAATTTCTTTAACTAGTAATATATAATATAGGTAATATAATAGCTGTATATATATATAAATTTGCTGTAAGACTATATGCATATAAGTAAGTAGGTATATAGCTTAATACTAGTAGCGCTTTAAGGTATATTAAATAGTTTTATATTCTTATACTAGTAATATAAAAGTGTAGTACTTATTTCTGGAAATATATATAGTCTTATGCCCTAGTGCTAATATACTAGGGTGTGTAGTATGTTTTTATAAAAGAACTCTTGTATATAAATCCTAGTAATAAAAGAGTACTTAAGTAGTATGTTTTTATATTAGTACTCTGGTACTAGTTACTTTTACACACTAATACTAGTTATAAGAGATACTAATATTAAGTTATTAATAATAAAGCTTTTGTATTACTAGTAATCTATAAATACTAGTACTAAGTCTAGAGGAGATACTAGTACCTTAGTGCTACTGGTACTAAGTCTAGAGGAGTTGCTAGTACCTTAGTGCTACTAGTATTTAACCTTAGTAAAGTGCTAGTAACTAGTAATAGTGTAGTACTAGTATTAAACCTGGCCTATATTAGCGTAATTAGTATTTAATCTTAATTAAGTATTAGTAACTAGTAGTACTAGTATTAAACTTATATATAACCTATAGTTACACTAGGGTTAATATTAGGTGCTAGTAATATATATTTATAAGAAAAGGTATCCCTAAGATAGTTATAAGTGCTACTAGTAAATTATTATAAATTATTCTTACTTATTATTTATACTATTTATTAATAACTATAACTTTTATCTTATACTATTAGTAAGTTATATTAAGTAGCTAAAGTAAGCCTCTTATTTAATATCTTTTATTTTCCTTTCTTACACACTTTAATCTTTTTATTTTCCCTTTTTTTACCTTTTATAATTATAGCTCTTATATAAAGATTCCTTATTCTTATTCTCTTATTCTTCTTATTTATTACTATTATTTTAATTAACTTAATGCTATTTACTAATAATTAGCAGGGGTTTATAAAAAATTATATTATAATTAGGGTAAATAAAGCTAATAATAATACTTAACCTTAAGTTAACCTATAATATAATTTAATATATTTATACTTAGCTAAACTATTATTAAAAATAGTAATAGTAATAATAATAAAAGTATTATTAGCAAGAATCTAGCTAAAGATAGTCTTAATAATAATCTTAATAATTTATTTAATAACTTAATTATAAATATAGCTGCATTCCTTAGTATTAGCAACTAGTATTTTATTTATATTACAAACACTTGCTAAGGTAAATTCATATATAATATAACTTCTTATAGCTTTTTTAATACTACTAATTACACTTATTTATTTTACTTAAGTAAGCTTTTATAAAAGTATAACCTATAGCTTAACTAATTTATATCTTAAACTAATTTAACTTTACTAGAATACTTAACTAAAAGATAACTACTAAACCCTTTAGTCTTAGCCTTATTAATATTAACTAGCCTAATATTATTTAAGATAAAATTAATAACTTTAATAATAATATATAATTATTAATTATCCTTAAAGTAAAAGCTACTAGTCTAAATTCCTTATATAGTTAGGCCAAGGTACTATTAAGTAATAGGAGTTAGCAGCTATATTACCGCACTTTTTTAAGGGAACTTACCAATCTATAGCACTAAATTCACTAATTAGTTCTATAAGAGAATCTTTAAATATTATATTAAGTAGTCTTAAATTAATAGCGCTATTCTAATAAGACTTATTATTACTGCAAGTACTAACTTAAATAGCCTTTTTAATTATTTTATTTATTTTATTTAAGAATAGAATCCTGCTAGGTAAATTATTATTAGGTGTACTTTTTGGCTAATAATAGGACTTTAACTTTTTATATATATTAACCTTATTTTAATATTTTTATAATTAAGTATTTACCTATTATAAAGCAGTAGCTTATTATAAAGTAATTACCTATTATTAAGTAATTACCTATTACTAAGAAATTACCTATTAGAAGCTATATGGTAAAATATTCTTATTTTCTATAAAATCTTTTAAAGTCTTATACAGCTCTTTCACAGCCATAGGCATAATATTTATAATAAGTTTAGTATATACTATTATATTATCCAGACTTAAGCTTATTATTTATTTTTTAGGTAATAATAATCTTAATACTAAGCTTACTTAGGAGCAAGATGTAAAAAGAGATTTGGAAAGAGATATAAAAAGGGATATTAAAGTTAAAGAGCTTAGAAAGGTTTAAATTACTAGTTAAGGTATTACTTTAAGATCAATTAGTGTTTTTGCGCACTCTAATTAGTGTTTCTTTGGAGTTAATGTTATTTTATTAAAATCTGTGCTTATAGAGCTAGATGGAGGATTTGCAAGGCTAGATGTAATCTTATGTTTTCTTTTGCATTCTTAGATTGCATTTAAAGGTAGGGAATTATTATAATATACAG